CACGTGGGAGCAATTCCGCGAGGAGTTCAAGAAATCCTTCTTCCCTACCAACGTCATATACGAGGTTAAGCGTAAGTTCAGGGAGCTGAAGCAAACAGAAAGCATACGGGCGTATGTAAAGGAGTTCACAACACTAACGCTTCAGATTCCCAACCTCACAGACGAGGACATGCTGTTCCACTTCATGGACGGACTGCAAAATTGGGCCAAAACGGAGTTGGAGCGGCGGCAAGTCAAGACCATAGACGAGGCCATCACACAAGCCGAGTCCTTGACGGACTATAAACATGAACGGCATGACAAGGCTAAAGGCAAGGATGCAAGGGGCAGTCATGCTAAAGGTGGGGGAGATCGCGGCCGAGGCAAGGAGCAGCAGGCGCACTCAAGACAGCCCGACTCCCACAAATCAGACGGCAAGCGGTTCGTGCGCCAGAACTACACGGATAGGAAGGCGCAGACCACCAAAGGAGATGGATGCTACGTATGCGGAGGACCACACGGCTACGCCAGGTGCCCGGAGATGAAGAACCTTGGTGCCATCCTACGCGAACGGAAGGAGAAGGACGCGCAAGAGCAAGGACAAAACGCGGGCACGACGCAACTGGGCATGGTAGGACTATGCGGGGCGATAGCCAAGCAGACAGAGAAGCCAGGAAACTTCAACACGCAGTATGTAGACATCTCCATTAATGGACGCGCGGCTCGTGCCATGGTGGACACTGGGGCAGAAACAAACATCATGACCAAGATGGCGGCTGAGAGGTTAGGGCTGAAGTATGTTCCAAGCAACACCCGCCTCAAGACGGTCAATGCGCCACCGACCCCCGTGTGTGGAGTCGCCCAAGGAGTGAGCATCACGATTGGAGATTGGCAAGGTAAGACAAACTTTACCGTCGCTCCTTTAGATATCTTTGACATTATTCTTGGACAAGAGTTCTTCCAGCGCTGCCATACTATGATCGACCCCTACCTCCAACGACTCCTTGTCATGGAGCGGGAAGGGTCGTGCATGGTACCTCTAGTCAAGGTACCGAAAAAGGAAGAACATGCCCTCTTGTCGGCCATGCAGATCGTGAGGGGCCTAAAGAAAGGAGAACCGACGTTCCTAGCCACCATCGCAAGTTTGGGAGAAGACAATGATGCTAGGGAGACCTTGCCACCGATCATAGAGAAGGTCCTTGAAGAGAACAAGGACGTGATGCCAGACGAGCTGCCGAAGACTCTACCTCCGAGGCGCGAGGTAGACCACAAGATAGAGCTGGAAGTTGGAGCCAAACCGCCCGCACATGCACCCTACCGCATGGCTCCACCTGAGTTGGAGGAGCTACGAAAGCAGCTGAGAGAGCTCCTCGAGGCCGGTCACATCTGTCCATCCAAGGCACCTTATGGCGCACCAGTACTATTTCAGAAGAAGAAGGATGGATCCTTACGTCTATGCATTGACTACCGGGCGCTCAATAAGGTAACTATTAAGAACAAATACCCCATCCCGCTAATTGCAGATTTGTTCGATAGACTTGGGCAGGCCAAGTATTTCACCAAGGTGGACCTCAGAAAAAGGCTACTACCAAGTGCGCATCGCGGAAGGGGACGAACCAAAGACAGCGTGCGTGACCAGATACGGAGCGTTCGAGTGGTTGGTGATGCCTTTTGGCTTGACCAACGCACCCGCCACATTTTGCACGCTGATGAACAAGATCTTTCACCCCTACCTGGATCAGTTCGTGGTGGTGTACCTAGATGACATAGTCATCTACAGTAACACCTTGGAGGAGCACGTCGAGCATCTGAGAAAGGTCTTCCAAGTCTTGCGGGAGAACCAGCTATACATCAAGCGGGAGAAGTGCGAGTTTGCCCAACATGAAGTGCATTTCTTGGGCCATATCATTAGCCAGGGCGAACTACGGATGGACGAATCCAAGATACGGGCAATCCAAGAGTGGGAGGTGCCCACTAAGGTGACCGAGCTACGATCGTTCCTTGGACTTGCGAATTATTATCGCAGGTTCATAAAGGGTTACTCTGCAAAGGCCACTCCGCTAACCGAACTATTGAAGAAAAATAAGCCGTGGGTTTGGAGCACGGAGTGCCAGCAAGCCTTCGAAGGTCTCAAGACCGCAGTGACAGAGGAACCGGTCTTGATGCTGCCCGACTTTTCAAAGACCTTCGAAGTACACACGGATGCTTCGGACTTTGCCATTGGGGGAGTCTTAATGCAGGATAGACATCCCATAGCATTCGAGAGCCGCAAGTTGAACGAGACCGAACGGCGGTACACGGTCCAGGAGAAAGAGATGACAGCCATTGTACATTGCCTGCGCACGTGGAGACACTACCTACTAGGCTCCAAGTTCGTGGTCAAAACAGACAACGTGGCCACTAGCTATTTTCAGTCACAGAAAAAGATCACCCCGAAACAAGCTAGGTGGCAGGACTTTCTAGCCGAGTTTGACTACACCTTGGAGTACAAGCCAGGGAAAGGCAATGTCGTGGCCGACGCGCTAAGCAGGAAGGCCGAACTTGCTGCCATCACAACAGTCCATTGTGATATTCAAGATGCAATCAAGGATGGCATGCAACATGATCCCGAGGCTAAGAAATTGATGGAGTTGGCCACCCAAGGCAGGACAAGGCGCTTTTGGGCAGAAGATGGCCTTTTGCTCACATCCGGTCGAAGGGTCTACGTGCCAAAGTTCGGGACTATCAGGCGGCGGATCATCAAAGAAAGCCATGACACGCCGTGGGCCGGGCATCCAGGGCAGCGAAGAACGAGGGCGCTGATCGAGGCTATCTATTTCTGGCCGCGCATGCGGGACGATATAGAGTGCTATGTACAGACTTGTCTTGTGTGCCAACAAGACAAGGTGGAGCAAAGACACCCAGGAGGACTACTAGAGCCACTACCCATTGCGGAGCGTCCATGGGAGAGCGTGACCATGGACTTCATCACTTCCCTACCTAAGTCCGATGGGTATGGGACTATCATGGTCGTGGTGGACAGGTTTTCAAAATATGCTACCTTTATACCCGCCACAGCCGGATGCACCGCAAAGGAGGCCGCTAGGTTGTTCTTCAAGAACGTGGTAAAGTATTGGGGGCTGCCAAGACACATCATTAGCGACCGAGACCCCCGCTTTACTGGAAACTTTTGGAAGGAGCTGTTCGAGATACTTGGCACAAAACTACATTTCTCCACGAGTTTCCACCCGCAGACAGACGGCCAGACCGAACGCGTCAACGCTCTGTTGGAGTGCTACTTGAGGCACTATGTTAGTGCGCACCAAAAAGATTGGGCAAGACTCCTAGACATGGCACAATTCTCATATAACTTACAAAGGAGCGAGTCCACCGGGCGCACACCGTTTGAGTTGGCGACGGGCCAACAACCCCAAACTCCGCATTCTTTACCGGCTGCTTTCGAAGGGAAGAGTTTGGGAGCTTACCATCT